AATCATATTGATAATAAAAATGGTGAAAAATATAAAAGATTTGAAACAAGAGCCCGTGATTGCAAATTTGTACCGATTGTTGGACTAGCAGGAAGAATTGATAATACATCAAAGAATAAAGGAAAGCTTTATTGCTTCCTTCCTTTACCTGAAACCGAGGATGATTTTTCAATTTCAATTAATGGTTGCTTTGCTGTCAGCAAAAATAGGAGGCATCTGGAAAATTCAATGACGAATGATGATTTGGTAATTATCATTAATGTGTAGTATGTGTTTACCGTCGTTACCAATTGTACATTTATAATTTTTACTGTATGTTATAAACTTTAGGCATCAGATGATCTATTGCTTCGCAAGGGGTTATGGAATAAATATTTATTTGAAGATATTATTCCAGTAGCTTGGAAAAGATTTTTGTCCGAAGTTAAAAATTACGTATCATTTAATGAAATCTATACATTTTGGCCAATACCTATGAACGGATATTACCGAAATTTAGATGAAAAACGTTGCTTATGGGCTAATCTTTTACAGAATGTCATTAATCAATTAAATCCTGATATGCAAGTTTTTCGTGGCCCTTCAAAATATTTATCAATTAACAATGGATACTTGGCTGCTAAAACTTTTGGAAGATTTTCAGAATTATCAAAATTAATGGCCAAGTTAAGATTTCCAGTTTTTGCAGATATTCCAGAATCAATTGTTGTTAAATTAGAAAAAAGTATTCTTTCAAGAAATTTAAAATACATTACGCCAGAGAAAGTTTGCGAACATCTTAAGTCTTTATATGAACATACTGATCTTAAAGATTATGAAAAGTTACTCTTGTTAGAATATATTCTTAAAGTCAATTGTGTCAGCAATCTTCATCAGCTTCCCCTTCTCCCAATCGAAAATAAATCTTTTGCCACTTTTAAACCTCGGACTCGATTTGAAAATTATTATATTACCAGCAAGAAAGAGCACATGCTCATTGATAAAGGTTTTATGGGAAAAATTGTGGATAACACAATTGGAAATGATCTTTTAGCAATATTACAAAATTATGCAATTAAGAATGAAAATATTAATATTGAAATTCTTTCAGAAAGCGAATTTGCAAAAATTCTCAGAGAAAATATAAAGTCTTATAATGATGGATCTTCTGAAAGCTCTAAAGAAATAAAAATCTCGAGAAACAAATTACAAAGGATATATGATATTTGGGACCATTTGCAACAAACTAATAGAAATTTGACAGCATTTTTAGATGTATATCTTTTACCAATTGATAAGAGCGATAATTATAACATTATAACTTTGAGAGAATTAGGCGCAGGACCAAAATGCTTATGCCGCTCAGCTAACAATATATCAATATTCCGAGACATTATTCAGATATTATCTTTGTTAGGTTCTATATTTATTAAAGTTGATTCTGAACAACTTTTGAGATATGAAAAGTAAGTGTTTTAATATTTTTATCTGATCAATACAATACATATTCTAAACATGCAAAACCAAAATATATTTTTGCAGGCTTAAAAATTATGTAATTGAGGTTGACAATATCAAAGCTGTCTTATTATCTCTTGGAGAATATCATTCTTTCCCATCGAATCTTGTCCAAGCCAATCTTGATAATTCACAGAGAAGGTTATTAGCTAGCTACTTTGGTTATTTAAGATATGAATCTTCTTATTGTGACGTAATTCACATAATTGAACATATTC